CCGATTCTCGATCAGGACTGGCGCAGGGATGGGTAGAGGTGTCCCTGTGTTTCAGCAATATTTGCAGAAAAAATGCTGGGACTTGGGACTCCTGGATTTCATTTCAGTCTCTGGACAAGTGTCTTTGTAGGGGCACAGACTCTTCTGCCCATTTTTAGGCAGAATGCTTATGATTTGTTCATATTTGGCTGCATTTTCATGGCAACGTCTCTCACACAAAAGCCACTCCTATTCCAAAGTTCAAGTCCTTACTTCAAAGCGTGGAACTGGTACAGCTTTTCAAAGGACGGCTCCTCAGAGTTTAAGATTAGTAAAACAATATATTTTTCCCAGCAAAAGAGTTTCAGCTGAAATTTTAAAAACAAATAAATGCATAAATCACAATTTAGCCTGAGACAGACGCCCAGCATGGACAATTTCAGCCAGAACATTTAAAGTTTGGCAAAGCTGTAAGAGACTGAAAATCGTCTCATCATGTGAAGTGTGTGGCATACTTCATATGAGGCGATATTATCAGCTGTAAGTAATCCAAGCTGCACATATAATTCATAGACGTAGATGTTAGGGAAGGAAAAAACAGTTTTAATAGATCAAGTAGTGCTGCGGCCCAGCCTGAATCAAACTAACTATTGAACAAAAATCCACAAAACCTAGTATCTGCTTCAGCAAATGTCTTAACACTGTAGTTCGCCAAAACACAAGTGAATCATTTAGCTACTGGTAAATATCTTTAACTATATGTAGCTGAATTTCCTTGAGACAGACTATTCAGTGACTTTTGAATACAGCACCATGCTGTTCTCTTGCATCCAGTGACTATGCATTGACTTGACGTGCTAGAAATTTCCCTATCCGACATATGCAATAAGCCAAGGGGACCTTTTTTTTTGGTAGTGACCTTATGGCATAAAACGACAAAGCAAATTGCAATATTTGTAAGTTATAAAATTATCCTATAACCCTTTAAAGTAGACATCAGCTTGCTATACCCACAAGGAGTTAATCTATCCACGGTACATTATGATCTTTAATAATTGGAAGCGATTGGCCAAAGTGCTGTAAACCTGGCAGAAATTTGTTGCCTTATTTTCTGCAAACCACAAGCACAGCTTATTAATTGAGAAATGAGCATTAACTGGCATTAGCTGGCATCTGTAAACTGAAAAAGAGAAATGGCCACGGTATGCATTCAGCTGTAAACAGTAGAGCTGCAAAGCTGCAACAGGTAAAATTGGTTTTTAAGCGCAAATGCAAAACCATTTTAGTCGGCTGCTGGCAAATGCCCAAGTCTAGGGTTTTTAATGAGGCTTCTGCATCAAAATAAGTGAAACCACATGGAATTTTAATTGTTCTTATTCTAAATATGAAACACACTGAAGCAGTATTCTTGAATCTAGGATGTTAGCATAAATATTGGCATATTAACATGACCACTTTTCTGTTCTAAACATATAGCTCTCAGAAAACTTGAGTGCCAGGTTGTGTTAGGGAGGAATCAGCTTGGAAGATTTAAAAATGGTTTAACCTCGACTCTTTCAGATGTAAAGGGTTTTTTTTAAAAATATACTTTTATTTTTCGTATTGTCAAGCACCGTGACCTGATCAGACTGTATAGGGAAAGAAGATCACTTGCTGTGCTTGTTGCCATGCTTCTCTTTCTGGCAGCAGAAAATAAAGTCTCTTCTCTTTACCGAAGGGTGGTTTCGCAATCTTGCGGCCACAATGTAGGGCGGAGGATCTGCGCTTCACCCATTTAATACAAGCTATCACGAGAGTGGGAATTCACAGATGCAAATTGTTTTCTTGCTCTGACGGAGAAAAATTAGCATAAATGTTTAATCCTGCTGGGGAGAGGAATAAATATATTATTTACTTGCACTGTCATGTTACTATGTTGCTGATCGACATCGCTATTTGTGCGCAACCAGATATACAAAGATGGGTGCCGTACCCAGAAGAGCGATTTATCTTCCCAGTCCAGCAAAGAGCTAAATGTATATAAATGAATATGCATCTGGTGTTTCCAAGTTAGAACCAAAATCAACTTATCACAAGGAGGTAGCACAGAGAAAGGAGGAGGAGGAGGGTGAAAACGCGTCAGTGAGATTGCACAGCAGTGAGGACAGCAAGAAGCTGAGTTTTAGAGGTGACTTTTTAAAAAGTTTCTAGACTCCTTCGGAAAGGAGACTTCAGAACAGGCATCACAGAAAACTTTTTCTGGTCTCCAAAAATATCTTTACACAATGGAGATACATAAGGCTGGGAACAAATCGCAGCCTAGTGCAGGGAGTTATGGAGACAGCAAAAGGCATTTGGGCAAAAGAAGTGAGTGTGCAGGAGCCGTGCAGACACAGCCATGAGTGAGATAAGAAAGGGTTATGGTTATTTGGCCTTTGGGTAAATAGGATTGTGCTTTACAAGCAACAGTAAAAACAAACAAGTGTGGATTTACTAGGGTATGTATGTAAGGAGGTCTGTAGCCCCACATTAGAAATGCCTACGTGTGGTGTGCACATTCCCAGTCATTCGACACATACATGATCCCTTGGCAGCACCCATACAGATAATATTTGGATCTAGCCCTGAAAGGGAGACTGCCTTTTAGTGTGTAAGACTGTGTGGATAGTTTGTGTTATTAAGAAAAAAAAAATTACTGGTTGCAAAGAAACCAAAAACGCCGATGTTCTTCTACACCCTTACACTCATACCAATTCTACCTTTGATTATAAAAGTCTTGTTTAGCTTCTATCAGGGTAAACTAAGAGCAACTCTGTTCATGTTGGGAGAGCTGCAATAACAATAAAAAAAAAAAAAAAGGAGTATAAGCAGTAGCAGATTGAAACTCAGTATTTTGAGCAGCTGGGGAAATTATGTTCTAACCTTATATTTCCAGATACGTATCAGACCTGTTCACAATATAAAGGATAGTGTTCCAAAAATTACAGCTTTGAATCTGGGTGGTATGGCCTCTGGCTATTGTTTGCAGTTGGGAACGAGAGGAGTTGCATCAAGTAGTAGAGTGTTTGCTGTAAAGGTACAAGTTATATTACATTCCATGGGGCTGTGGTTGGAGGGGTTGATGATGGAGACAGACCCATTCACCCGTAGGTCACTGATTCAGTTCCAGATAAAGATAATAGTAATCACATTGTCATCAGAGTTAAAAATGGGCTTTTACTGCCCATTTGAAGTTCTGTACTCAATATCTTTTGAGACGGTGGGTTAAAATCCCCAGGTTTCAGGCTGTGCGATTTGGACTCTTGGCTGGCTGTGGCCCAGGTCTCCAGCCTGAACCCAAGCTGTGCCTGAGCTTTTCCCCCCTGCTGCTTTTAGATATCATTGAAGGCGTGGGTTAAATGAGCTGGTAGAACAGGAGAGAATAGTGATCTAAATCACAAAATGTGCCACACAAGGTGGCACGGTTTGCTGAGTCTGTGGCTTACAGTAGCAACCACCGCTGTGGGTGCTATAGGAAGCCAAGGGCAGAAGGACTGGAGGGACCTTCTACACAGCAGTGTCGGCAGGTCAGATCCGAAGCTTATCTGCAAGTAAAGGCATTGCTGCATCTTGAATTGAGGATATACAGGGTGTTTCGGTGTTTAGCCTGTCAGTTTGGCATCTAGAAGATGCCATATTTTCCTTTTAGGTAAGTCAGATTCAGTAGATTGGCAAAGAGATGGGTGAACCCTTGGATCTAGAGGATGGTAAAGCTGTAGAGGTGTCAGCTGGGAAGCACAGGGAGAGCCCATTTGTTTTCGTGATTTTTTCCCCTTTATTTATACCCCGCTCTTTCCGACTAAAAATGTATATGTGTATCTACTGCGTACTGGCCAATGCATTTCCCTCCCTCTTGCACTGTACTTCTTCATTAGGCTTTTTCTCTTTCCCCCGTCCCTTTTCCCACACCCTTTTTGTTTTGCACTTTTCTGGCTCTCAACACAAGCTTTCACCATCTTTTTTTTCTTCTGCTCCTGTCCATCCCACAGTCTCCTAAGCAGATCACCAAGCTACTAACGTTTGCTTTCCAGTTCTGCTCTGAAACTTTGGGTGTTTGATGTGGGATTAGAAATTAGGCAAAATGAGTTTACCCATCCCTGTTTTGCGTTAGACTCCAATTCACAGTGTTACCATCCAGACGTTCACAGTAGCCATAAACTGTGTGGTCTTTTTTTCAACCAGACTGCACAGACTACATATGAAAACAACTTTTTTCAATGGCAGGAAGAGTGTTGGGCTTGTAATTTTCCATCGGCTGCACTGAAAAGTAAAACTGGCATCTCTGCTATCAGCTCAGTGGCCTTGCCCATCCTTCAGATGCAGCAAAGAATATTTTTCAGCCATAGGAAGTAGCTGAGCAGATTCTCACCTAAATAAATTGATTTAAAGCAAGAAGTGGGGCTTAGTCACCCCCGGTGTAACTCCCCTGGTGTCAGTGGTGCAACTAACTTGGTGTTGCCAACTCTTGTAGTTTTATTACAAGTTGCACGGTAATTTCTGCTTGTCTCAAAACCTCAGCTCCCGACGGTGTGTGCTGAGGTGGGAATCTCAGCTTTCGTGTGCAACCAGACCTGAGTTTCTCAAGAGGCTGTAGCAAAAACCCAGAGACACGTAACCCTCCAAGCTCAGAAACCAGAAGGCAAATCAACTCCAAATCCAGCTTTCTCTTTTTGGCTCTTTTTCAATCTCTTGATTTTTGAGATTTTTTTGGTTTGTTTTTTTTTTCCCGGCCTGACTTGTGACCTTTGAACGCTTCAGGTTGGCAATGCTGCTCCCTCCATTGGCATCGGTGGAGTTAGACCAGGGATGAGTTTGGCCCAGCGCTTGTAGAAGACAGGTGTATGACTCTGTTCCTTGCAATGTATTATTTGATATGATCTGCTGTTCTCTTGGGGGCCAAAAGAAGTGGGTTTTCTTAGCAAAATAAAATTCTTTCATCACGTGATACAAAAACATGGTATTTACAGAATTCTTTTCCCCCGTCTTTTGTTATAATTTTTTAGGTGCTTCAGAGCTGGGCCCATTTTCAGATCCCAGGCAGTTCACAAGCATTTCATCCCTCACTGAGAGCCGCTTCTCCAACCCACGAATGCACTATCCAGCCACCTTTACCTATACACCGCCAGTCACCTCAGGCATGTCACTGGGTATGTCCGCAACCACTCACTACCACACCTACCTACCACCACCCTACCCCGGCTCTTCCCAAAACCAAAGTGGACCTTTCCAGACCAGCAGCACTCCATATCTCTACTATGGCACTTCGTCAGGATCATACCAGTTCCCCATGGTGCCGGGAGGGGACCGCTCCCCCTCCAGGATGCTTCCTCCGTGCACCACCACGTCCAACGGCAGCACGCTGTTAAACCCTAACTTGCCCAACCAGAGTGACGGTGTGGAGGCGGATGGCAGCCACAGCAGCTCCCCAACCGTCTTGAATTCTAGTGGCAGAATGGATGAGTCCGTTTGGAGGCCGTACTGAGATTTCTTCCGTAGCCGGCCTGACCTCCGCGAGCCAAAAAAAAAAACCAAACAAAAAAACCAAACCAAACAAACGGTCGACTAACTACGAAGTGCCTGGTTTTTGTGTTTTTTCTAAAAAAAAAAAAATAGATTTTACCGATATGTGCAACTGTGTAGATGGGATGATAATGGCCATAAATAACACAAGAGTTACCAACACACCACAACCCATGTTTCAGATTATGTGGATCAAAGCACATATTTTTATTTTTTTTTTCTTGGAACCATTTTACCTTGTTTTATATTTAAAATGTACTTTTTACAAACACAAAAAAAATCACCCCCTCCTTCTTTTTTCTTTTTTTTTTTGGTTTTTTTGGTTTTTTTGGTTTTTTTCATTCTAGAGTGTTGTAATAACTAGTGAGTTCTTTTGCCAATGAGGAGAGAACGGACTCCCCAGCTATCAGGAGAAACATGGTGATGCAAGGCAAAGGCTGCATTCCCTTTTATTTTTTAATAAAAAAACCCTAACCATGAACTCCAGATACAGTTGCAATCATACAATGTATGGGACCCTCTTCACACCCGTAGTGCAATTCAACTGGCTTGTATTGGTGCACATAAAAAGGAAAGCAAAGATCGAGTTGCTTCCATTTTGCCATGATACATTCAGATGAAAACAGCTGTCCCAAAAAACTCTGTCCGAGCCTTGCTGCAGATAACGGTTGGAACTTCTCTGTGTTCATTGCTTTTTTGGTTTGTTTTTGGGTACTTAAAGAGAACGAGTCTTCAAGTTAGGCTAGACAACCCTGGGGTTTCCTTTTTGCTTTTGTATCCGTTCATTTTGCCTTCGATTAGCCAAAAACCAAAAATAACAACCAAAACCTTTAAAAACAAAAAACAAAATGTTATTACTTATGCAAAATATGAAAATGGCATTATATATTACTAGAGCCAAAATGGTATACATAGTATTTGTGTTCGGCTATGTTCTTTTTTATTTTTTTTTTTAAATTATAAATGTGTAAAATTTGAGGTTGTTTGCTAACATGAATCATCATATAACTTTAAAAGAATATTTATAATTATTTAATGACATTTGGACCCTTTAAACGTTTCTTAATGTAATGATATATTGACTTCGGTCTCTAAAAGTGTTTTTGTTTTGTTTTGTTTTTTTTTTACTTATTACATTTCTGCAATGGTGTAAACCTCAAACCTTTACCCAACTTTGAAAAGCAGTTCCAGTGTGAACCAGTTTACAATGTGACTTAAAAATGACAAACCCAACCCAAATGCATCCACATCAAATGATTTTGGATGTAGGATCTTTTTATATAACTTATGAAGGAAATATTGTGTTTAAAATATTTTTATTAGCTGTCTGGTTGCCTTCAACACAGTCTTGCCTTTTAATCAGTAGTTGTGGAGACACTGGAAAAATGGTAGGAAGGATGAAATATTTTCCACCCTTCCCCTAATTTCTTCTTCTCCCAGGATTTTTCTCAGAACTTCAAAATTTGAAAATATTCATATTAAAATGTTCTGGTTTAACAGCATAATTTGAATTTCAACAGGGTTTTTGTTTCCCCCCAAAGAAAATTCAAAACTGTTTCAAAGCCCGTGTTTTACAAATTAACGAATTGTTAAATATCTCAGAAATGGGATTAAGGGAGAATTGGTGACACTTTTTCCCCTTCCCTTGCAATATCAGCCCACTCGATAGAATAAAAACGTTCAAAACTTGAGACAGAAACTGCCTGGTAGCGCATCGCCGCCCGTTAGCATTAAATGCTGGAGCCGTAAGGATGCTGTGTTGACTTTGAAGCCGATGTGGCTGTTGCCGCATTAGAGAGACAAGCACGAGGGCAGCAATACCCACCTCTGCAAACGCTGAAGATAAAAAAAAAGTCACCTTAAAAGCCACCCCGGGGCTCCCAGGCGCGATACAGGGAGAGCAAATCCAACCCGAAACCCCAGCCCAACCTGTCTGCCGCCAACCTCTCTGGCCAAGGGCCCCAAATTTTGCCCAGCAAACAGGGAGGCGACGTGGCGTCGGCCAGCTGCAGTGGGAGCTGAAGGGCTCTCCCCACGCTCTCCTCAAGCCGGTGACGTTAAGCCTAGTTTAGCGGGATTTTCGGCACGTGCCGATGGGGTTTGCCGGCATTCCCTCCTTCCCCAGCCTCAGCCATCGCCTCCGCGGGGCGGCTGTCGGCCACCGCGCCGCTCCTTGGCCGTACTTTGGCTACCTCCAAAGTATTGCGATAAATCAACGGTGGGCATAGCCATACAGAGCCGGACAACACCATCGCTGCTCGTTAACAGCGAAGCTGTTGAACGAGTTGACATTAGCATGGTACGACCCTCCTATTTACGTGATGACGTGCTCTTAAAAAAAAAAAAAATTTAATAAAGTCTTTGCCTTCTAAAGGTTGTATACCAAGTATGCTTAAAGTATAAGTAAGACACTTTTTTTTTCTTCTAATACTTAGTTTTCCTTCAAAGATGGAAGCTGTAATTGATTCTATTTATTGTTGGTTTGTGGTAGCTTGAAGCATACCACTGTCCATTTATTTGTAACTGTAAAATACGTTTGTTAGTCTCAGCAGCACTTAAAAAGCCAGTGTCTGGTTACACATTTCAGTTTTGTTTTTTTGTTTAGTAAGCAAGAGAAAAAGATGTACTGCCAGTGCAAGCTGTTTCCTATTTAATAAAAGGTACTATATTTGTACATTATTTGTTATTGCTGAGAAGGGCTTTTTAAGGTTTACTGTATGCATATTAAGTAATTTTTAGGGTGCTTTTGTGTTGAAATGTTGTTAAGAGTGGCTGCAGGCAGCAACCCAGATTTTTTTTTTTTTTTTTTTAAGACTTTGTTGTAAAATTCAAGCACTTGGTTTTTGTTTCTGGATAAATCCAGCACAGACCAGACTTTTGTTTTGCTCAGTACCGACAGGACTCTGTTTGTGTCCCCGTGGTTTTTCAACTGGACCGTTAGGGACAGACGTTGAAAACGTTTTCTCCTCCCGGTCGAGGCGCGCGTACCCGATCCGTGCCCTCAGCTTCCCTGGCCGTGCGGGCAGGCGTCTGGCTCTGCCTGCTTGAGATAGGAAGGAAAGGATTTTCTAAGTACCTACGGATGGAGGAGCACCAGCCCCTTGACTTTTCGTAGACCCCGTGCTCCTGAACCTTCCTGGTGCCTTTGGAAAATCTCTCCCGGTATGTCAGGCCGGTCACGGAGGGAGTTGTGCAGGCTGAGGCAGAGATGCTCATCAAAGCTTTTGGAAAATGCTTTCAAGTTCACTTGGAAATGCTCTTGAATCAGGATTTCAGACCAAAAAGAACCCCAACTGGCGCTATGTAGTAAATCCTATCAGATTATTTGATGTTTTGCGAGGTGCTTAGCATTGACAGAAAGTTTTCTCAAAGGTACGACAGCCCTTCCCTTCGGTGAGTGGCAATCTTTGGCACCGTTCATAGATTTGAAGATTAAAAAATGGCCTTTTTTTACTTTCCAGCTCTCTTATCCTACCAAAGATTTACTTCCAGCACAACAGGCACGATGTCCCTTTTGCCGAGCGGAGGATTAAATCCTCCTCTCCCTCCTCCTAAGGGTAACCAGATCGGGGTCAGCAGGTCGGGACGGATGAGTAAAGCAAATTATTTAACTCACAGCATCATTCATGTGGCGTTTATCGATTCTTTTAAAAGACCAGCTGCTGTGTATTTCTTAGCATTGAATTTTTTTGCCAGCAGTCCCCCGAGCAAAGATTTACCGGTTTCCACAGGTACCATCTCGAGTGGGGAAAATTTTGCACTTTCACACTTAGCAAAGCAAAGCTCAGCCCCGCGCCGGGCTGCACGCGGCCAACAAGCCATGAGCAAAAGCAATAATTAAAACCTGGATCAGCCATGAGCTCAAAGAAGCCCCATTCTCTGAACCCCCTGAATTTCTTGTTGTTTTTAAATAGAATGCATTTCATTTTAACATTTTCTGAGAACTTTTTTAGATGTTTGTTTACTTCCATGTTTACAGATAACTCTTTGCTTTTTTTTTTTTTTTTAATGCAGTACTTTTAAGTATATCAGCCAAAACCATACTTTTACAGTAACTTTTGTTTTAGGTAATATGAGTGACATTCCAATTTTTTGTTGTTGTTGTTGTTAAATATGCTTTACCAGTCTTGAATTTCTGCTGGAACAAAATATTTGTAGCATTTTGTGTAAATACAAGCTTTAATTTTTTATTTTTTCAAACGCTGTCACCCGAGATTTGCTTTTCATGCACATATTGTACAAACACACTCTGCTTTATGCCACAGACGATGATTGTGGATCAGTTTACTTCAACTTCAAAGGGACTATTTGTATTGTATGTTGCAACTGTAAATTGAATTGTTTGGCATTTTCTCATGATTGTAATAATAATTTGAAGTTTGAATTTCATTTTCAATAAAATGGCTTTTTTTTGTTAATGTTCTTCTATGCTTCTTTTTCTTCCGTTGTCTCCTCTTAGCACCAGGCAGGGTAAAGTAAGTACATGGTAGAACACAGTACCGGCCCTTCCATGGTGGCCCCATCAATTTCTGCAGCACTTAAGTTTTCAGTTATATATAAAAAGCAAGTTTCCAGGCCTATGGGTGGTAAAGGACACCTTCTAAATCTGATCTCAAATGTCGCTTCTTTTCCTGAGTCTGCAAACTATCAAAACCTGTGTTTCTTAGAGGAGTGCAAACTGCTCTATTCATCTTGCTAGATCATTAACTCTGAAACCTAACAACTGACATTAGCTGGGACATTCTGGTGCTACAGTGCTGGTGGGCAGAGCTTGACCTATAGGAAAAGCCAGGATAGATTTCCAAACCAGGGGGGGAGGGATTGGGGTTTATGGCGCTTTTCCAGGATGGGGGTTGCGCTATCTCCACCTCTTCCTGGTCAGACCTGAGGAATGCAGTTACAGATAATCTTGTGATTTGCATGGCCTAAGGCAAGAATAGTTTCCAAGCAGCAGAAGATATA